GCACCACCCGGAACCGGAAATGCCACTGCCGCCATTTTGGGAGGGCAAAGGCCGAGCGGGCTGCGCCCACGGCTGCGGGGCGGTGGCGCCTCTCCGGAGGGACGGTGCAGGGACAGGCCCTAGGGCGGGCCCGATTTATCCGCCGGCAAACCGGGTGGCCCCGGGCCGCTGTCTCAGACGGCGCTGGCAGCCTGCCGGCCGGACCTCCACAGTCGCAGCCACAAGGCGAAGGAGGCTGGATGGCGGCGGCACCGCCCGCGCCGAGAGCCAAAGCTTGGTGCGGGCTCCGTGTTGCAGCACCGCGTCTCGGCTGCTCCACGCACGTCTAACCCAGCCGAGGAAGCCGAGTCCGGTTCATTGAGCCTTTTTGCACCGCAAGCAGTCACCGGTAACGGCAGAGCCGCTGTCCAGAGCTCAAGGCCGAGTCTAAATGCCAACAAGCAGCAAATCTAACCTTTTCTTTTGCTATTCAAGTTAACGGTAAATACCAACCCAGCAGCAGCAGCCTGTTTGCCCAGTCCCGAGTGAGACTTAAAAGCTGTCAAATTCAAACTTTGGTCTGTTCGACCTTTCTAAGTCAGCAAGCAAGCTGCAAACAGTTTTGCTTCTTGGGGACACCAGACTTCCCAAAGCCTGTTAAACAGCAAAGTTCGCCTGTAACTCAAACTGCTTAAGTAAAAACAAGAAAAAGTTCACAAATGGTGTCATAGTGATTAATGGTCAAGCTAATCCAAGGGATTCAGTTTCTCCCAGGAGAGAACATATTCCCTCAAGTATGCTAATTCCTTACTGCTGCCAGTTTTCACAGCGCACACATGACAGATTTCACCAAAACCCCACCCCCAACAGGCATCTACTCCAAGCCACTCTTGCTCTGTCATAAGATACTTAGAAATTTTATTGCACTGTCAACAGCTAGGAGGTTGAGTAAGACAATGAACAACTCCTTTTCACATGCTAACTCACAAATAAGTATGCCATGCAGCTTTTGCTGAATATTTAAATTGCTATTCCAAAATTTTGTATTTAGAAGTTGAAACAGCTAATGCAGCCTTGCAAAGATCTATTCCTTAGCGGCACACAGCTCAATAAATCAATAGCAATCTAAGGAGTAAGTCACTAAAACAGAAAGATACCACAGTACCCTTTTCCTCAGCCAACACAAAATGTTGCAGAGTAACTGTGAAACAACGAGCCAAACAAATTTACAAAATGAATTTATTCCAAAAGCATAAGGGAACATTTACAATTCAACAAGATGGCTAACAGGTGTCTCCACAAAAACTCACTGCATTCAAATTAAATATGAAACTGAGGGGGAGAAATCTGCTACTTCTGAGGCCTCAAGAACTTTGCACATCACCTCTGAAAAATAGGAGCCCCCTAAGGAAGACCCACTCAAAATTCAGTGAGAAAATAAGCTGCTAGTACCTAGTTATTAGTCTAAATACAAGCTATGTTTTGGCTTTGCAATTACATTTGTTAATCTCCTCAAAACATAAATTATAGCCACAAGTGCAAAATTTCTATTTTTTTTTTTCCCCAATGGAAGCTTATTAACCATCTAGGGCCTATTTTCAGAGTGACATTTTGATCTCACCAATTTGTTCTTGAAAGCTCTTTACCAAGTTTGTTGGTTTTAGTGACAAAGCCGAGTTTAGCAGCTGGCATGTAATCAGAAATACATGTCCTGGAATGTCCACAGTTTGCTGCCTACTACTCCGGAGTTAAGCAAAAATAAGACTTCTAATTCTAATAATCAACAACGTCTTTAACTTTGACATAGTTTTGGTATTCTGGCCTTCTGATTGTAGTAGTAAATACCAAAGAGTGTTAATGAAGACACCCGAGTCTGATTCACAAGCAATACGAATGGAACTAGGTGGGGAAACATCACTTTCAGGCATTTGTCTGTGTCTGTGGATATCAAATGGCTGGACAAAAAAAGGAGGGTAAGAAATAATCTTCATTCTTCTAAAGCCTAAGCTATTTTACAGCAAGACGCCCTGGAACACTTATTAAAATTGTCTTCCTCTGTCCCAACTTCTTTTTACTATCTGCTTATTCCTTTACAATGTTGAATGACCTGAGAAGTAAAAATTTTGAGTGGTGAGAATAAAAAAAACAAAAGCATTGTGCTCTTACATTATATTTTCTGGGTGTACACCAGTAACTAAGAATCCCAAGTTACTATGGAAAAAAATAGCATGGAATTGTTAACTTTTCCACCTGAACTGAACTACATAGCTGGAATTTTTCAATGTTACCCAAAATACAATTTTATTTATATATTTTTAAAATGCAACTGTATTGGTAAATAAACCCCCAAACCAACAAAACCAAACCAAACCACAAAACAAACCAAACGAAACCCAAACAAAACATGCCTCAAGTGCCAACTAAGCCATAAATCTGCAAAACACAGAAAAGAGCCGAGGTACTGCTATGGTCCGGCTCCAGCCTATGAAGTGTAATCACTGCATCAGTCTTTACCCATTCCTGGAATAATTTTAGTCATTTATTGTTTTGTTTTTCCTGTTCATTTACTGAAATTTCACGGCATAACTATATGCACATATTAATACTGAACATTAAAAATTCATTTGCAAAACATCACTTTTGCATCACAATGCACGGAGAAGAGTAAGGTGCGCAAACCAAACCCACCACATTCTCCACATCTTTAAGTAAAAGGACTGCTTCATGCTACAAGCAAAATAAATTTCCATCCATGTTGCAAACTTTAGAAAAAACCCCAGCATGTATCATCTCATTCAATTCCATTTAAAAAAAGTAAATCAAAGCAAATTTGACAATGGTACTCTTCTCCACATATTGCAAAATATGGTTATAGAAGAGGAAAGGATCACTGCAGCTGCTAAGCTTATCTGACACATCTCTGTTGTCATGCCTTTCCCGTCCATTACTTAATACATAAACTCAATTATATAGTTTCAGTTATGCAGTAGCCGATTTTTAGGTTAATACAGAAACCGTCAAGATTAGCTTTTGATAGAACATCTCGCTCTTTTCCAATTTTGAATAAATCCTGAAGACACTTCAAAAATAAGAACCCAAAACTGCTGACTGTAAGCATCCAAAAATACAGTTGTGGTTTCACTATGGACAATTTGTAGTCCGTTAGAAAAGTAGATCATACATACAAAGGTATAAAGAACATTTAAGTCAGTCTTAGTGGAAGGCAGTCCTTGAAGGAAACAATACTCCAAGCAAACTTGCTGAGCAGCACTTTCACTTTAGCCGTCTGCTCAGTAGATTCTTCCTCGGCTACGATTGCCACGGCCTCCCCAGCCTCTTCCTCGTCCACCCCGGAAACCACCTCTTTGCTCTGAAAAAAAAGTCACAACTCTTCATCCAGGTTTTATGCTGTACACAGATTAAAATTAAATAGCAGTAACTGGAGGTGTTGAAGGCTGACTTAAGTCTCTGAGGCTAATCCTGCTTAATACCATGAGATCTCCAAGTTAAGCTTTGATAGACCCCCCCTAGTTGTAAAAGGAGGTCAGGAGAACCAGCCTCTCTAAACTAAACGTAGTCTTTCCACACACTAATACTATGATACCTAACTGTCACATTATTTTAGAACTATAGTTGGACCAATCCATTAACCCAGAATTGAACACTGGTCTGTAAAGAACTTCATCAGGCTCCTTAGCTCACCCTTCTGTCCAGGAACACCATGTTGATCTTGAGGTGTTTAACTTGCTCCTAGTGATTTTATCAAATGATGTAAACCCACAACTTTGTCAGTCTATCTGTCCTTTTCTATCCCTAACTTTATGTTATCATCAGCATACTTCAGGTTTTTTTTGCTGGGTTGGTATCTTAACTATATCCAATTAAAAATCTTCCACGCAGACAGATGCCACACAAACTATTTGTATACTGTATTTTTCCTTTCCCTTTGTTAAGAACAAATCCGATAACAGCAAAAAAACCCACTCATAAAATATTTTGTTAAAGTTTCTTTGGATTTGTTTGAAAATGTATTAAACTCTCATTCCCCTTCCATGGCTTCTCTTCATGTCCAGTCTTAAAATACAGCTCATATGAATCTACGAAGAGAACTGTGTGCTTATTTTAAAGAGTACAGAAATCAAAAGCTGATCAGAGGCCTAAGCATCTCACTAACTAAAGACAGTAGCAAGCAACAAAACATTTTTGGTTGAAAACTTCCTGATTTTTAGAATGGTAGGACTACAAGCTTATCTCAAAAGACAGAGGTGCATCACCTGAGGTCTGCAGTAAGAAATCTGCAGAAGATTATATCTTTTTCTCTTTGTTTTACATATAAGACAGTGCTTAATATCAGTTTTTCAACCTACGGGCATGGGTGATAATCTGGCTGTTTACTTGACAGAGGTAGGACCTACGGGCCTACAGGGAAGGCAACAAGAACGGGTTGCTGCCATCGTTGCGCCTATTCATCCAGTCTGTAACTGCTCTCACGTTGTTCCCAGACACACGGCTTGCAGAGAGACAGAATCACTCTGACTGGGAACAGGAGGACGTGTGCGACGTAACACAGCGAACCTGGCAATTCCAAGTTCTGGATCAGGCCTGTGACATGAGCAGTGGCTGCAACAGGAACTCAGCAGAGGTCCAGTCGCATGATAGGAAGCGGCCCAGCTCTGCCATTTGCAGCAACCGGTCTGTCCAATGAGAAACTGGGGGTGTGAGTGCGGTGTCGTAACAGTGACAGCTTGATTACTAACTTTGTATTAAAACACTAGTAAAACTACTTGCAAGTGACATACAGTTTATAGGCTGGTAACACTCAAACCCTTTAATAAACCAATAGCTAGAAAGAGGCCATTACACACAAAAACTGGTGACAGTACAATTTGATCTTCCAATGTGACAGAAAGTTGGCTTAATTTCTTTGTTCTCCCTGCGCCAAGGCACACCGTCACTAGACAAAGTTTTTCCAAGCTGCCTAACTTACCGTAAGAAAAACTACCCAGGTTACTGCTGTATTTTCCACTGGGAGGATTATATATTTGCCTGGCATCCCTTTTTGGTCCTGCCGAAGCTTTCTTTGGGGGTGAACTTGAGGTTGTATCTTCACTTGCTCTTTTTTGACTGACAGAAGAAAACAAACACAGACCATTACGCCCCTGTGGTGACAAGTACAGAACAGCAGTTCAGCCTCAAAGATTAGCCACTGGAAGCTAGCAGCAGCTAATGAAGATGCCCTGAATAATACTTCAAGAGAGGAAGCAAGCTAGTCTCCAGTTGATTTGGTCTATTGTATCCCTCAAACAAAACTAAGATCATCACTCCACAGCCTTAATTCCTTCCAGGATGGGTGTTATTTTTGATTGTGAAACTTTTACCTCATGTGCTGTGTATATTATATATATATACACACACAGATGCAGCTTGGGATCTTTATTTCATAAACCACAACAATTAACACCATCTTTTTTTTTTTTTTTTAAATGAAACCCTCTTACCTTGCATCTGCTTTCTGTACTGGTTTCCAGGACAGTGTAACTGTACTTTTATAAGAAGGAGGAATGTGGAAGAGATCCTACGGAGGCAAAATTGCACAGTTTATTCTACAGCTAAATTCATGTTGATTGCATTTCAAAACTTTAGCTACCTACTGAGGCTCCACAGTAACAGTTACTTTCCAACAATTTTAAATCCTTTTTGAAGGTGGCAGTAGCTAACTGCCTTAGCCCATACACTTTACTAGGAAATTCAAGTGAGATTTATATTAATAGTTTATTAGGGTGACATAATATGCTCTTTCTCTCTCCCTATGCACATTAAGCATCTTATAATGAACTACAATGCCTCCTGCAGGGAATCATCTGAGATCCCTGTGATGGTAAAAGATAGGCTCCTCAATGCCGTGGGCAAGGTTTTTGGTTTATTGTGGTGATTGAGAGTGAGAGATGAGAAATGAAGAGAGAGAGAAAAAGGTGGTTAGAAGAAATCAGAAAGGTTTCGAGAGCTCTGGATGGAAGTCTCTTTCTGCAGCCCATCTCTCCTAGACTTTTTGGAGAAAGAGGTTCTCCGTAGCAGCTTGCTCTGCCTCCTCCCTCCTTTACATCTCCTTGCACCTCTTCAAACTATTCCTTACCCCTCCCTGCCATTGCAGGAAAGCAAAATTGACAAGGAAAAAGGCTCAGCCAGAATCCAGAGACCCCTAAAGCAAGGTCTTCTGCTCTTGCGGGCAACTACTGCTGCAAAAAAGGGCCTCAACACCTTGTCCCGACAGCAGCAGCAGCGGCTAAGTGGCTTGCTGAAACAGCAGACCCATGTCTCTTTAGAGACGGTAAAGCGGGCAGCAACCCTGAGCTGGCTAACCCTGACTAACTTAATAATACAACACAACTTGGATCAAATCTATTGCTTTTTTTGTGCATAGGTTACTCTTATTGTGTGAATTTACTCCTTCACAATGTGAGAACTTACCTTGATTAAAACATTAATGTTATTGGTTATTTTCAAAGCAACCACTTTAATCTTGTTCTGTAAAAAAAAAAAAAAGGAACACCACTGAACACCTATTCTAGTAGCTTTAAATTATGCCAACTGCATTTGCTGAAGTTGTAACATTAAACTGATGGCTCTTCCCAGTGAATTGCTATAGCAATAGTCCTAGTGAAAAGTGTGTACACTTCTGACTTTTCATTACAATTACTTTTAGGCTTCCTGCAGCTTTACACTAACTAGTTGCTTTTAATGTTCCAGCATACTTCACACTAAATTTTGCCCCCCCCATATGAAAATACAAAACAAAAACCAGAGCACAGTTAAGCCAAATACATCCGAATGTAGAGAGTAGCCAACAGAAGAAGCTAAAAGATCATCTTAATTTGCAAAATGCAGCATCAGGTAAGATGCGGTTGCAATAGATGGGAGCAGTATTACTCCCTTAATCTATCTGCATGCTTACAACAGACTGCAGCCCATTAATGTGTGCCAATGGTTATTTCGGTAGGTTCAATTAGAAAAATCAGAATTCCTGAACACTACTTACCTCCTCTGTTTTCAAGGCTTCTCCTGTTTTTCCTTGAAGTGCTAGACGAAGCTGACGAATATACACCTGCAACCCTCGAGCAAAATACTGTAGCCTAAAAAAATTTAAAAGCGATCTGTTAATAAATTTTTCATATTCCCATAAAATAAAAGCATAATCAAAGGGAAACTGTAATCTCCTTTTTAACTCTTTAGGAAAAGTGCTCGAAGTCAGTCTTCTATCAATCTAATTTGAGCTTTTTCAGCATCCAGACAATACTAATTCACACCTTCTAACAGGCAACTCTAACACTTGCCTCTAAGTGAATACCTGATTTTAAAGTCTTTCAATTTCTCTGCATTCAGCTTGGCTGTGAGGAAGTCTGGAAGCTTACGACCCAGCTGGTGGAAGCTATACAACAAACACTCCACATAACTGAATTGCAACTTGGGCTCTTCATTGCCAGCATTTTCCCCATTCTCTGCTTCCTCTGGAGGAAGGGGCATATACTCCTAATGCACAGAAAGGAAAACCAAATGCATGAGACATTTATGCAGACTGACTGTTCGTTTGCAGTGTTTGAACTGGAGGGTTTATTTACTGGTGCAGGTGGTTTGCTTACACTCATGTGACTTGACACCTCTGACCCAGAGGAAATAGTACGGTAGCACGGTCACTCCACCAATGCTGCAATAGCGCTGAATTTGCTTAAAATTCAGTGCAGATATAGCCTTTAATTAGATCAACATGAGTCTCTCATGGCTATAAGATTTAAAAAGAACAAAACCACACGAGTTTACTGGGTTACAAACCTGATGCAGGTAACAGCTCTCTGTATCTACAAAGGCTTTGAACTGCACATGATGTTTGACCTTGTATCACGGAGATAGCTATCTTTGAAATAGCCACTTTAGAAAAAGGATAAACAGATTAATAGATAAAAATAAGTTGTTTTGATGAAGACTTTTTCTTTTTAAAAGTGTCTTACGTGAATAAGAATTGAATTAGTCTTACCAGTAACTTATCAAACAGCTTCTTCAAATTTGATTCCAGCTTTTCCATATCACCACAAAATGAACTCATTTCAGCAAGAAGCTTCAGAACCTACATATAAGGACAGAAGGGTTTTTTGTGCGTTAACTGAAAAGTACAAAGGCTTTTTAAGTGATTATCACATCATTATGGCTGGTTTAGTAGAGGTCAACTATTACAATTAAACCCCTCCCAAACATCAGGAAAGAATACAAGGGGGAACATGTCTAGTCTGTTTTTCATGTCCGCAAACAGAAACACATGTTTGTGTATTCCAATCCCAACAAGCATCATTAGTCAACAAGTAAACAAAATTTCATCTCCCACATCGGCAGCACAGCTCCCCTTCGAAGTCAGATTTAGAAATCTAACTGAAGCTGCAGCACTGATTAACGTAAGCAAAATTACAGACATTAAGCCACTCCCTTAGGAGGCTGAATTAGCACAAGCCATGCAACAATCATTTCAGTAAATGCTATGTGCTTAACAAAAATTGACAGCAATATAGAAATGATTACACAGATCTACTTATTCTAGCCTTACCTCAAAAGCTCAGGACAAATGACACATGCTTTAAAAGGCAATGCTCAGTCACGCCTCAATACAGCAAACTTTTTTTTTTTTCCTAGTGTAGCTGGTTTTCCTCCAAGCCAAGAACTAAAAACCACTCAAGAAAGGAATCTGCAATTTTTAAATAAGCCGTCTTTGTCCAAGATGCTTATTTTTTAGGATTTGAAAGACACTGTAGCTTTGGCTTACCTCTAACTGGATATCAAGACCCTCCACTGGAGTAGTCAAAGAACTGAGGTTTGGCAGAACATGCTCACAGAAGTAAGTAACAAATTTTGTGGAATGAACATTTTTCTGCAAGAAATACCACATATTATTCAGGCTACTCTGAGTTTGAAGGAGTTATTCCCCCACCACTCCACCATCCTTACAAATGCCTACCACACAGCTATACCTTAAAGCTTTAATAAAACTAAATAACTTTTAACTCCTAAAACGCAGAGACCCTTCCAGGTAGCTTAAACTCAGAGGGTGTCTGCAACAGGGGCTGAAAAGATTGCCTATTACCCAAGAACAGGTGTTTAAGTGCTGCAATTGCCTGGCACTAGACTTGAAATAATCAAGGTGTATGAATTAGGTGTATGAACCTAATGTGAGAATCTTGTCATAATTCACTGTAACATCTGAATCTGAAAGAAAATGTCGAAGAGCAGAGAATAACACAAAAGCTCTTTGTATTTGGAGGCTTTAAGGACGTTTTCCAACATTTTAAGACATTAGAAGGTGAAGTAGTACCAATCTGCTGTCATTCTAACATAATCATTGAGAACTCTGAAGAGAAGCTACAGCCATTACTTTTCACAATATTCCTCATGCACAGCAAATAAATACATACCGAGAAGAGTGGCACTGCCTGCCGAGTACACTGTAGAAGTCTGTCCACGCAATCTGGATCAGCTGGATTGAACGTTTGTTCCAGGTCGGCCTGTTCGGCTACCAGCTCCACTAGTTGTTGCCTCCCACTTACTGTCTGTAAGCTTTTTAATCCAGACAGTATTTTCATGAACAGAACAAATTCCTCGCCTGTCACATCTTCCAGCACCTTAACAGAACATCAGAAAACATATTTCTATGGTGGTAATTTGCAAACCTCCAAGCCAAACCTACTTGATTTGAAAAGGTACAGTATGCAAATATTTAGCATCTGAATTTAGCTTCTAGTTATTTAAAAACACAAATTTAAGGAACACATGAAAACATACAGTATAATTGTAGGCACCTTCAAACTAAAGTAACTGCCATCAAGTTGTGCATAGGAAACATTATCCTTCTTGAACTCTAACCTTAAAAACAAATTTCTTATTGAACAAAATTGTATGTTTCAGGCAGAATAAATGTTAAATGAGTATCTACTCATTATTGATTGTTTTAATACTTTTTGTTTCTTTCTCAGCTTGGGGAACACACATGAATCTCATGAAATTCAACAAAGGCAAATACAAGTCCTGCACCTGGGATGAACTAACTTCCCTGGATCAGCACCTGCTGGGGACTGACTGGGCAGGGAACAGCTCTGCTGAAAAGACCCTGAGGGTTCTGGGGGACAGCAGGCTAAATCTAAGTGTCAGCAGCATTCCCTGGGTGATGAGGAGTGTCCTGGGCTGTGACAAGAACACAGCAGGTAGAGGGAAGCAGAGGAATCAAGGATCCTCCTTTGCTATGCCCTCACTAGACCAAATCTGGAGTACTGCACCTAATGTCAGGCCCTCCTGTATGAGGAAGTCGTTGATGAGCTTTAGAAAGCCCAGCCAACAAGGTGATCAGTGTCTAGAGCACGTGACCTGTGAGGAGAACCTAAGGAAACCGAGCTTTTTCAGCCTGAAGGAAAAACGTCCTAAGGGGGTGAGCAAGTCACCAAGAGTAGAAGCCAGCTTCTTTACTGAGGTGGACAGGGTGAGAATGAGACAATGATACAAAACTGAAATGGGAGGTTCCAACTGGATGAGGGAAAAAAAAAAAAAAGTCACATTGAAGCCAATTAAACACTGGAGCTGGTTGCCCAGACAGTATGGGAACTCTCCATACTTAGAGGTTTTCAAAAGCCAACAGGAGAAAGCACTGAGAAATCTGATCTGAATTCAGCTGAGCAGGATTCACTGAGGTGATCAATCTCCCAAAGTCCCTTTGCCACTTGAATGATTCTATGATTCTAATAAAAGTGGCTCTCACAAAATGAGAAGACCCTAGCATTATTTAACATTTCCACAAAAAATAACGCTGTGAAGTTTGGATTGTGGCAAAATAGGTAACTAGAAGACCGCATCTGTACAATGCTTAACTCTACATGTGGTTCAAACAGACAGACCTCCACAGCAATGCCAGGGATAAGGGATGGTTTAATAATACTTTTCTTTGTACCGAAATAAGACACTCACCTTCTTTGATTCAGTCAGTATGAACTCTTCTACCTCCTTTGTCATCACCTCCTCGGGCAGGGTTTTCAGTTTTGTAGAGAGGAACTTGATGGCTCGCTCTCTCACAATATCCTCTCCCTGAAGAATCTGACTGAATAAGCCTCCCAAAGTCCCTGAATGGAGAATAAATCAGGTAACGCAAATTGTTTTAGAAGTTAAGAGCTGAACCTTCTACGCAGAAGGAAGTTTCTTCCTATAAGACTCCATGAGACATTTTAATATAACTGCTATACTAACTTTTAAGAAAAACCACAATTTTCACATAGTTTGATATAAGAATCCACGTTTTTTATTGGTGTGTATAATTCAGACCCACAATTACTGAAAAGTTCAGTATCATTTGTAAAACCAACCAATGAGCCCATGTCTCTAACTTTTACACTGTACTAAGAAGATAAAAAAATAAGTCCTGTTCTCATTCTACTAAAAACTAGCAAGCATTAATAACTAGCAAGCATTAATAAAAGACATTTATAGAAAAATACATCCTTTACCTTTAGCATCCATCTTAAATATACTGAGCAAAGCATTGTTCACCAAATTGAATTCTGCAGAATCATCTGAAGAGAGAAAAAAATCTGATATCCATATCCTTGAAATGCAAACGTAAGAGCAGAAAAACAAAGAAAGATTTCTGATATCACAAAAGAAGTATTCTATCCTCAGCATTTAACTATAAACAACATTACTTATGTATTTTTAATAACTACTAGACTAAGCAAGTAGAAAGCTACGATTAGGAAAGTTGGAAACAAAACAAAAAGCTATTTGCCACTTCAGCCTCTCTGCCAAACTTGACAGGACTGCAACCTTGAAGGGAAGTTATTGATCAATACATTTAGACACTTTAAGAAACCGCTGAATAAACTAGGTGACCTTTACTAAATTAAGGTAAAATGAATAGTTATTTCTTTTTAAACTCTTAAGTAATCTACAGTATTTCTAGGTGGGAGAAACAATTTTCCTCTCGAACCAAATGGAGAAACATGTAAGTCTCTTCTGAAAAGCCTAAAGATCTAATCCTGCATTTTTAATACAAATTCGAACATCTAATATTTATCACTCTAACTTACTGAGATTAAAAAAAATACATATTGTACGTTAAATTCTGAATTAAGTATTTTGTAACAAAAATGCATTGTATGGAAGAAAACGCCTTCAGGATTGTTAAAGTTCCTGAGTATCTGGATTAGAAATCCACTAACTCTTTCTCAGAAGGCAATTTGCTGCAGTCCGTAACTGGATGGGTTTTGTTTCAGTTCCTCCCCCTCCTTTTTCTACAGATGCTTTCAAAGAACTTGAATGAAAAAAAAATTGTTTTATTTAAAAGAAAGATTTTCACTTTAGATTAGGATAATTAGCAACTTTTCAGCAGAAGTAGCAGCATAACTGTGCAGCAAATACAAAGTGGGGAGGGGAAGAGCAGAAGCAGGACATGAATGGCACCGGGACAGATCGCTTTATAACAGATTATGAATCAACAGAAAACATTTTACAGAACAAAATCACATACATTTTGAGGTGTGCCACAAAGAGATCAACCAGGAAACTTCCAATGTCTCCTACCTGACTGTAGAAGCTGGGTCAGTATGTCTGCTACCCGAGGAAGATTATCTCCAGTGGCAAACTGAGGCAATTCCTTGATTGCTTGTCGCCGGATCTGTCAAAATTGTCAGTATTGTGAAAATAAAATCAATCAATCAGGCAATTCAGCTACCAAAGTCTGGCAGAAAAAATCAGCCAAATTTTAGAAGATGACCATATATTCTTTCAACATGAGTATCATGTTCAGAAAGCGATGTTCCAGTTTCAGACCTTAATGGCAGTCCAAACTTCACATTTGCTATGAAGCTATTACGATGTATTTAGAAAGAAAATAATATAATTTATTTAGATCTAAGCAGTGCTGGAGAAAAAACCAAATTCAAACAGCACCTCTGTTCACAAAATCATTCATTTGATCAACTAAATGAAGGGCTGGATTCTGTGTTATTATGGAGTCTATTTGCTAACAGGAAGGACAGTTTTACAGTTGTGCATAGGGCAGAGATAAGCTCTAGGTTTTGTTCCCAGCACCAACAAAAATCCTTGAATGATCTGCCCAAATCATTTAAGATCTGATAACCAAAGATGCTTCAAAGGTACAGCTTCTATCAACACCACAGAAGCTGCATGAAGCATCTCACAACTTCTGCAAGAACAATACGTTCAGAATCACATCTCCATGGTTCTCAGGTGCCAACAGAATTTTCTTGCCTCCCAGCAGGATTTTTTAGAATCAATTACCACAAAATACTTTTTGAAAGGAAAAAAAAAATGTAATAGATAATCAAATAAACTGCATCTAAGTTTCTTTCTATAGAGCTATGCCTTTGATCGATGGGAGTGAAAAAGACAAATGAAAACTGATGTATCACACAACAGATTCTTCTATTGCAGGAATACAACTAAGTAGTCTTAAGTTTTCCAAAGACCAACCCTCCCCTCCCGAAAGAAACGGTCTATAAAAAAATAAATTAACAAAGACAACAAAATATAAATTCAATGTATCAACGTGCTACAAGGTTGTTCTTCTTACAGAAACATCTTCATCCTCACAGAGGTCCAACTGGGCATTGATAGCGGAGTCAGCCAGCTCAGGAAAATGCTTGAAGAATTTTGGAATAAACTGGGCTGCAAGTCTCTTCTCCTTGGCACCTCCTTTCACACCATCCAAAATCGCCTGGTACGCATCCTTATGCTGAAAGGGTAAAAACACAATACATAAATAGAAAAATCCTGGGGTATTCTGAAGACAAGGAAAGGATTTTTTCTCTCCCATTCACTTCAGCTATTTAAGTGAACTATATTATACAAGCTTCAGACAAAGAAATAAATTTATCTCTTTAGACCAATATAACTGTGCCAATGTAGTAAAATTTACCTCTCTTGGCTTGTTTTTACTGTTCTGGTTTCTCTGTCTGTTCAAGTGCTTACCATTCAAACTGCTAGCCCCAAGGCCAACAGCTCTTGCACACCACTTGTGACTAGATTAGCAGCGACTCAAGGAATGACATGATCACCGTCACTGAACTTGGGCAGTTTTTCAAGGAGTTTCTGCATTCTGTCTGCTTATTAATTGTCTCTCAAGTAGAGGTCACCTCTCCCAATAACTCTGCCACTGGAATGGATCATGAATGATTTTTAACATATATTGTGCTAAAGCATCTTTGGCATCTATTCAAGCAGTTAACATAACATAGTTCTTAGAAGGTTTGTTAACAGCGACTAGATCCAAAACCCCAGAAATCTCCATCTGAAATATAGAAACGAACACTTCAGCAACAGAGTAGAATATCCTCTAGCTGCTCCAACTGGAATCACACAGGCGTTTCCGATTTTGTGCCTGCAGGACTTGAACTTCAGAATAAATGGAAAGCTCTGTTGTGGTGAGCTATGTGTCTGTGAAATAAAAGTCAGCATTATTAGGATGCCAGCAGAAATCAGAACCTTCTATCATTCATTTTCCTTGCGGTTGTGATAAGAGTGCTCTAGACAACTCAGCCTACTTTGAACAGCAACATCAACAGCACAGGACACACTGCTTTATTTACATTAAATTTCCCAGAGCCGCATACATCATCACCCCTACTCCACAGAGAAGTTCACCTATAGCAAAGTAACGTACCACTTTACAAAGCAGTATACTGCATTAATTCCCTCTGAAGTAAGCTGTATTTTAACATGCAGTATTATCAATGCTCCTTAACCACTCCCCACACCTTGCTGACAGCTCTCTGTATTGCCAGATTCTGAACTGGATTGGGACACTGATCTGTAAGAATATCCAAGGGAAAAAACGGTTGCTTTTCAGCCGATCCCCATCCGGTTTGCTCTGTAGCTGTGCCAACAGAGCGCACTCAACAGCAAAGGCAGGAATGAGCCATCAGAAACTAACAACGAAATACACATTATTATAGTCACAGGTTCTCAGACTGCACATTAAGAACAAATTTTTGGTGGAACAAATTACTTAATTCATAAAAAAAGCAATGGAGTAGCTTGTGTTTCATGAATTTGTATTACTGCATGCTAACTACTCCTACCATTTAGGCAAAATACTGTTCAGGCAGGAATTTGTTTTACCCTGTACATGGCAGCACTGACTGCTCAAGAAAAAAGCAGGCAACACCAGAAGCAGCATGATCCTTCAGTTTCAGACATTTCCTCTGTCTGTGAAAGGGCAGCAGAGACAGTTTTATTTTCTGTCCAGACCTTTATTTTTAATAACTGTCAATTGACCAAGCATCCACTAATTTCTCCAGGTTAGTTCTTGAACCAATTCGTACTCTTACTATGTTCTGTGACAAGTTTCACAATGTGTTATGGAGAAAAGTTTGCCTTCCTCTTTGTTTTAACCCTGCTTCCTAAGTCGTTTTCAAATTCTCACCATCATTCCACTCATGAGGCAGACTCATCATACCTGAGCCCCTTAAATGAAACACTCTTTCACAAACTCAGTAATTCTGGTCTTTTAAATTACTTCTCTTTATGTCATACTCCTGGTTGTCCCTTTGCTCTTTTCCTCATGTTCAAAGTTTCTTGTTTGAGACTGTGACTATGACTTCTTGTACCAAGAGATCACGTTCATAAGGTTGTTAAGAGTTAATAAAGCAATAAGTGGGCTAAAACTGATGAATAAGGAACAATTACTCATGGTTTCTCAGAATGAAATAATTTGAAACATCAAATAAAATTATGATATGACAAGTTCAAAGGAGATAACTCCTTCACCAAGGTTAATGGAACATTTTGCCACAGAACATTTGTATGCCAGAAATACAACCAGTTAAAAAAAGCATCAGGGAAGTTCACTGAAGAAAACCTAGCAAGATATACTAATTACAAAGACAGGATCTCTGGCTCTGGAAACCTGCAACCCGGAGAGAGGCAAAGCTGGGAGAGTGTATCAGGAATACCATTCTATACTTACGCCCAGGGGTTCTTACACATCTGCTATTGATCCCTGTCACAGGATGCATTCCTTAACTACGCTGGGGTCTGTTCTGCCCGAGATGGCCATTCCTATCTTACAAAAGCTACCCACTATGGTCAACATGGCGATGGACCGCGTAAACAGCATAGTAATAGTATCTGGTTTATTCTGCATCCCTCCCCACAGTTCCCACATTTTAGCTGCAGTTTTTGTTTGGATCCATGATGATGTTTTTGTTGGACTGTCTGCAAGGATGCCTTGTTTCACTAGGGCATAATCACACCAGCAATGTGAACAGACTTGAATCAAAAAGAAAATCCCTTTTTTTAAAAAAAAACAACCCAACCAAACCCAAACAACCACCATATTATTTGTTCTCTTAAAGAACTGTCCAAACGACCTTGCATACTAGTATCTAGTTTAAAGTCCACTGCTAGGTATGTGCAATGCTACTTTCTTTCTTATGTATACTACGGTAAAAAAAAAAAAGTACCTGCTGCTTTTTCAGTTAGCCATTCAGTAAAATGAGAGCCTAATGCAATTAAAAAAATTAGTTTTAACTAACTGTATTATTTTGCATTGGTAATATACTAAATTATCCTCTTTTTTTGAATAACTCAGTAACAGTATAAACAAATGGCAGATCTTGCCAAGATTTTACAGATAAAAATCTCCTTTAGCCGTGAGGATCGATCTTCCATTCTTGCCTTAGGGAAAAAAAAGAGGGCTACAGGCAGTAATGAAACCGTAACAGACCTCACCTTCCTCCAACAAGCCTTTTCGCAAGAGAGCCTGCCAGAAGCTCTCCGGAACTGCAAGTGCGCTGGATCAGACCTGGATGACTACCGGCGTCTTCTTTAAGGCCTGAATTCGCCCCCAGCCGAACCCCCCCGCCGCCATGCAACAAGCAGTGTGACCCTAGCTAATAACTACTTAAAACCCGCGACGCCAATTTAAAAGGAGACCTGCCGACAGGACGGGAGGAGGACGACGCTACAAAAACGACGAGAGCTGCTACCGTCCTCGCAGAACCGCGGGCGTGAAGCTCATCTCTACCCGCCCCCAGCCCCGCGTCGTCAGGGAACCTACACCGAGAACAGCCCCGGGGGCCAG